CCTAAAGTACAAGATTCAATATATTTCAAAATGCATTCCAACCTAGTCAGCAAAATAATTTACAATGGTATATTGTAGATTTTAACTTAAAAAATAAATGAATGAGACAAAAAGAAACCTTAGTGATCCATCTTTTCTTTTGGCAGCTTCTCTGTCACAATTTGCATTGTGGTCCAGTGCAGCAACAAGGTTTCTCGCTCTGTACACTGGAGGTGTGTAAGAATGGCGCTTTGATGAGTACTTCAAAATAAGGTTTTGAAAGTTCTCCAAAGCGGCTGTACTTCTGTAAAAAAAAAAAATCACTAAATAAACTATATACATGGTGAAACCTTCCTGAAAAGTTTTAATCTAACATTTAAGAAATCTGTTATATATATATATCACATTTGTGTTTTCATTTTCTAATGGAAACATTATAATTGGATATGCATAAATAGAAAATATCTGTAGAAAAATGTAGTATACAATCAATTTTGTGTATACCGGCAATTAAGGTAGTAAGGAATCTTCTTTATTAGTCTTTTGTCCCTAACAATTTCACGCACGGCAACATGTGCTGGGGATCCTGCCTCAAGCCAATCTTTGTTCCTTTCCTCTGTTAATGGACCATGCTGGCATGAACTTTTTGCTCCTGCTCTGTATGGCAAAATCCATTCATGCTCATTCACAACATGATGTATGACTCCAAACCAAATGCCCTGAAAAGAAGAACAGTCTAAAATTATTTTTTTTCACTCTCTATTAACACAAACTGAATCAAGTGGTTTTTCTATTTACAGTTCAAACTTACAATAAACTCTTCTTCTGTATTTGCTACAGAGGAACAAAACCAAAAATGGTTTACTATCTCTCTTGTCCACTGTAATATTGGTTTTTTTTTATTTTTCTTGTCCAGTCTGAAAATAATGTTCAAAATTCAGTTTACTCATTTAGCATTTTTCCAAATTTTGAAAATGTTCTTAAAATAAAAATCTTAAATTGTCTCACCTTTATTAGTTTTTTCCCAAGGTTTTTTGACCCATGCCAGATGTCGAATGAATGTTTTATTTCTGGGTAATCTTTTTCTGTTATAAAAACATGATGATAGCTACAGTAAATCTAATTTATATATTTATCCCTAAAGAAAAATCAGAAAAAAATCCTAATTACAGATTTAAGCTTTAAAAAAGAAGAAAAAAACAACGACAAAAAAAAACAAAGAAGTATACAAAGACACATACTCATTAAAGCTTCAATCTGCACATGTGCATCTGTCACCACTTCCACCACATTTATTTCTTTTTCAAGGAGAAACTGCAGGCCCTTCTGAAAACACGCCTTTTCAAGGATTGCACTTTTTCTTCCTGTCATTCTCTTGTCCATGGTCACTAAGCACAGTATCTTGTGGGTTTCATTTTCCATAAATGTGTACGTACAGTACTGTGCGGAATGACCTGGACTGTCCATACGACCATCGCCTAAGCAAACAAACAAAAAAAAAACAAATAATCAAAATAAAAGAAAATTTAAATATATCCTCTTCTTGACAAAACAAACAATACAAGCATTTGGTTGATATTGTACTCACCAAGAACAACAACATCTTTTCCTCTGAATTCTTCTAGAATATCATTCTGATGCTTTTTCCAAATTTCTTCAATTGTTGGAGTGACATAGGTTCTTTGTATCTTTATAAATGATGAGACAGACAGAATGGGGAGCTTCAGGAACTTAAAAAACAGGGAAATCTTTTGAAAATTATTTCCTGACGCCAGTAAAGCTGCTGAGATTAAAACATCCCCACTGTGAACCCGTCTATTAAGAAGAGGTTGCGAACACCATTTGTGTGCCTCATGATTGTTTGTGCAGACCTGGAACAGAAATTTAAAAAGTGCCTTTGTATTTCAAAAAGAAAGGTGAATGATGCCTTGTCACAATATGTATTATATATGATTCTTTTAAAATTATACTGAAGTTCATTACCCATCTCAGGTACACAGCTGAAGACACTACTTCTGATGAAATGTGAACTTGAGCTTCACATCCTTTCACCCTACAAATCTTAGGGACTCCTGTTTCTGCCAAGGTAATCAGCTGATTAATGTAAACCATGGCTGGACAATCATGGACCAGTTGTTCAATTTCATCATTGTTGCGTATAACTGGTAGACAACTATACTCAGCATGTTCTACAAATTTTTCTTCATCGTCCTCAATCTCTTCTGAATCCGACTCATCTAGCGTCACACCATGGTCAAGTCTATAGAGAGAATAAAAAAACATAACAAAATTATAAAATTTATGTTATTACAGTTTAATGAACCAATTACCAATAATTTTTCCCATTAGTATGTTTCATGCTATCTGAAATATTTACAATGATTAAACATATTTAACCTCTTTTAATTAAATTTTATATTACTAAGTAAATAATAATTCTAATAAAAATTACTTTAAAGACAGGTGGAAACTTGGCTCATATTCTTCATCATCAGAAGAGTCATTTTCTTCGCATGTCAGT